CGAGAGGTGGTAAAATGGTGTCGAGAAAAGACCGAGTGAATTCTTCTGTGTCGAGATCGTCCACACCAAGACGTGTTTTGATAGAAACATGAGGAACCTGAAACGGTATAGGGTCCTCAAAGCCGTGGTGACACTCCGAAAATGACCGGTGACACCCCCAAAAGCAATAGAAAAGATTGTGAGTCCTCATATGGTGGTATACAATAACAGTCTTAGACGATACCATGAGATAAGGAGTCTGTTAATCATAGACTATCGTTATGAGGAGTATACACAAGGCATGACTATGACTCATAGTCGTTCTTATGGCATTCCCAGGTCGAGTTTATTTTCCACCCATTTTGCTGATCTTTCGACTAATTCGTTAACATTTTACCCACGGTTCTAATAGAAGAGAATTGATGTTATTAAGGAGTTGAATTCAACGTGGTCATGAGGTCGATCAGTTGGGTGCAAAGTCAGATGGGCTCCTTTTATTCTCTACTACCACTCCCGGCTCACTTCATCATCCAGCGTACGCAGACAGTCCCGGACCAACTCGGGCGTCTTCATTAACGCGACTCCCATGAGGCCATGACCGGCTACTCGAGAGCTCGGACAGCCGACGTTGAGGTTGACTTCATCATAGCCCCGACGATGTGCAATCCGGGCAGCTGCTGCCAACTTGCTGGGGTCATGGCCCCCAAGTTGGCACACTATAGGATGCTCCGCCTCAGTGAAGCCTATGACCTTCTCAAGCTGTCGGGGGATATCCTCGTTATGGACCAAGGCCTGGTCTACCAGCATCTCTGTCCACACCTCGCATTTGCTGCTTAGGAGCCGCATGAACTGACAGCAACGACGGCAATCACCAATGCGGAATCAACACTGCCGTTAGTACCATACGGAAATCCCGATCGGACACATCCACCATTGGGGCGATGGACAGCCGCACTGGCCCTCCCTTTCGGTCGCTGAAGGTTGCACAATCTAGGGTTATCACACTGACGAGAATGGAGCTCACTTGTGAGAGGCCAGCGAGAATC